GTTCTAATTTTTGAAATAAACAGGCTTTAAGTCCAAAGTAAACTCCTTCCTGAAAAACAGATGAATATTAAAGGTATAAAATCTACTTACAATCTTTGACTTGTAGAATTTTGCTGTGGTGTGAGTTTTGTTCAAACTCAACTATCTACAATGGCTACTGCAGTAAAGATATGGGATTTATTCTATAAAATAGTTTAATTTTTCAATATATGGGAAAGTTTAATATGATTTTGGTTTGTTTTTGGACTACTAAGTTAGCATGTTAAGTTTGGTCTGGATCAGTCAACTCATTTAGGAGGAGATGCATCCACAGACAGAAAGTTTACCTCGATACTGGATAGTAACCACACCGGTATGGCTCAATATGTATAGCACATATGTGAAGAACACCTGTACCCAAATTTTTATACTCAGGTAATTTTCATCACAAGTCATTTAAATTTTTCGCATAGTAACTTGACTAAGTATGTATAAAAATGTTTGGTGACAGGTAAAAGTGTAAAGTTTTTTGTTATTAACTGACTGTTATTTTTGTACTACACATCTGAAAATTGAAGGTTTCATTTTGCCATGCTAGTAAATGAAAAAATTCTAACACTGAATCAGCTTCTAAAACTAATCTGAGACTTAGAGATAATAATACCGAAGGCATCTTTGCAAAAATGTCCAAAAAGGCATTATGTACTTCACTATGATAACCTCTTTAACCACAGGAGTAATGAAAATCAAAATCTCATTGGAGAAGAAAAAAGCTATATCATTTTAGTCTTAACACAAAGTTTTTGTTAACATTGTATTATTTGTAAGAACAAACAAATATAAATAAAGGCTCAGATCAAAATTTTAAAATTATTTTCGTAAAGGGTTATCAAGAATTGAAAAAATTATATTAAAATATTTTTGTCCCTATCTTGTAATCTTAATATTTTGGAATTCAGGGAAAAAAACATTAATAGTGTAGGGAGAGTGTTAAGCATCCTTTCATAATCTGCTTTTGAAGCAAGTAAAATCTCACAGAAGATACATGGCATTGTTAGCTAGTGACCTTTAAGCAAAAACGAAAGATGAGTCTGTGATAATAAAGAAACAAAAATCATGCTTATAGAAAAAAGTGAATAAATACCATTAATAAGCTTTAGCCAGAAAAGTTAGACCACAAAATATTGAAAAAATCTTTAGAACTACAGAAAAGTATGTTTAAAAAAAAGACAGCTCTGTGATAACTAAAAGACAAGGATTCATAACTGAAGGAACATTCAAAACTTCAGTGACTTATGTGCTGAACATACACACACATAAAAAAGATAAACAACTAAAAAAACAATGATCTGGTTCTTAAGTTGATCTATGAAAGGCATGTTTTTTATTGTTTTGTACACTGCTAAATCAGTAAAAAAATTAATATACAAGGTTTTGGACAAATAGTGTATATTGCACTCAATTTGGTCCTAAAATTAGCTTACAATTACAATGTAGTATTTTACAAACCTTTTTAGTTGAAAAAGTTTGGGAGTCTGAAAAAAACTCAGGTGTTGGTCTTGGAGACTTTAAAGTTGCCATTGTCAAAAAACTATAGTATTCCAACCAAGTTTAAAAACTAAAGAACTGAATGAAACTGTCCTTAAATAGCCTGATCCTTTATAGTATGTAATGTCCCTTTTTCACAGTCCTGTAAAAATAGTAAGAAAAACAACAACAAAAACATATAAACAGTTTATTAAGGAACTTTATCAATAAAACAATTTTTCTAATAAACTAAATTAATTTCATTCATCAATCATTACTCTGCTATGAAGCTACCTTAACAAAGTAAGGAACAATTTTGTGCCAAATATGTTCAAATTGGTTGTTTTCTGACACGAGTATGAAATCCAAAAGGTAAAAGATTCAGGAATTTAATTCTTACAACACAACAAACAAATTTTATCAAAAGTAAAAGAACACAACATCAAATGAGAAGTAGCTTTTAATTCTCTACCAGATTTTCACAAATTTATACTAACATATTTCAAGGAAACTCACAAAAAACACCACCATTTAAGTTTGCTTAAATAACATTGTCAATCATACACTGTACATAAACTAGATGTGGTAATTCATTTAGTGTCTATGAACTAACTTTCTAAGTAAGAATTTCATATTGATATTCCAGTTTTTATATTTCAGTGGAACTTTATATTTCATAATATATTAACCTTAAGTTTAATTAACTGTACTTAACATTTTAAATATATATTTCCTTGTTCTACAGTTTTGCTTAGCTTTTTTGTCGCATGAGATAGCCCACCCCATTTTTATTTTTGCATTAGGTCATGCTTGTTTCCTCTTTGGTAAATAATGCCGATGTGTATCAATGATATTCTTTGAGAAGGGCTAATAACTATTGTACTCATGTTAATTATATTTACAATTACTACTGTTTAGTTATTGAGCTTTCACATTTTTTATTAATATATCATTTTCTTTCATTCTTGTAAGTATATTTCTTATTTTTTTAAGTAATCTATTTTTAAAATACCTATTGTTAATGGTTTAATAGGGTTCATATCTATTACTATGCTTAAAAAACAAGATAAAATATTTTTACATTTATTTTGTCAAACCTATGTCAAGTTTTATATAATAGTGCTGCATTTTAAAATCTCATACACCTTACTAACTAGTTCACTTTATGGATGTCAACTTGTTGAAAATATGAAATATCACGTACTGTGAATAAGAATATTCCTTCCAACCACATATTTTCTATAAACTTATTTCTTCTTTCTTTTACTAAATTGCATAAACTCCATTTTATTATATATCTTTAATTATTACGTTTGACTGAAACCCATGCATGTTTATTACTGCCAAAGGGTATTACAGCATTATGATAAGTACAAAGTATATCAAAACTTAAGATTTAGGAAAATTAGTATTAACACCTTGTTTTGTTGTTGTTTCCTTTTTTGCAAATAATATAAGATTAAACATACACACAAGATTCATAACAATACTTCTATAGTATAAACCAACTTTTTAACTCGAAGCCTTTAGATATTGCATCTAAAATTGAAATACAACTAATTAATCGAAAAATGAGACAATAGATAGTTTAGACAGTATGTACAGAAGGCAGTTATTATTGTTATTTGAAAATAAATAATAGTGTTCTTGGTGATGTGACTATTTTCATATTTCTTTTTTTTACTACTTTAATCTAGACACTATTCAAAAAACATTTTAAATCTACAAATTTTCTTGATGGAAAAATAATTTTCAGCATTTTAACATACTTTAAGAAGAATGCCAATAAGGAATTCTTACCAATCTCTGCATTTAAATTTTCATGTCTTTATCATTTACCAATAATGGCAAAGAATTTATAAATTTGTAAGTAGATATAGTAGGCTATCAATTAACATTACCAAAAAGTAAGATATTTAATGAAAATAAAACCTAATAGAAAAACAAAGACTTCATTTATGGTTACATTCTTTTTAGAACTTTTGACATTACAGACAAAATTCTAGATTTTCCAGAGATGAACATCTACAATATACTCATATTTCAAAACCACTTCAGGTTGTAACCTGTTTATAGGGGGGTAATAAAAGTATCAAAACCTATTTACTTCCACCATATTATGGTAAAAGATCTTCACACATGAATATTTTAACTTGATGGTGGACAATAATAGGCTTAATTTTTTTTATAAAAGAATACTTGACCTAACATATCACCAAATATAATAAATTAGATAATTTCCACCAGATAATTAAAAGTCAATGTCCAAGATAATAGTAAATCATACCAATAACTGGCATAGCTATGTAACATTTCAATTCAAATGCATGTTTCAAGGTAAAGAGAAGAGGGGTGAGACTGGATTGGAGACACAATTTTCCCTGACTTTTTATAAATTTCTTTTTCAATTTTCCTGAATTTTTAAGGCTCATGGTTACCATGTAGATGGCTTGTATTGGTGGCTTTAATTCTATATCTTTAAAACTACCTAAAAAATGGGCCATTAGATTTTCAAACTAATTAAAAACATCACAATGGTTGGTTTAAAATAAGTTTCCGTATGTTCATACTTTATTTTCAATTTTTTTCTCAGAACCTGCACAAATAACATAATTTCAATATCATACATGGAATGTCTTAAAAGTTTTTAAAGTTACAATTAGAAAGAGAATCAACATTTCTATTGCTTATAACTAGAGCTTTTAAAGTTTTATCGTCCATCCTAAGTGTACACTTCTTTTAAAAACTAAGAAATTATTACTGATTTAGACATTATTGATATCAATTATCATCTGGGATTTGGAACAATGGAAAAGTACCATAGGCTAATAACAGTGATATTACTCACCGAAAGTAAAGAATATAGTAACTGTTGTATTAATATGTAACAATAACATAATGATACTATTAGTATTACTACTAATGATACTATTACTATTAGTATTACTATGTAGGCAGGCTTAGCTATGTAATACTAATATTAAACAAAATGTCGGCATAACCCTTAACAACACCTGGCAACTCAATCAATCATGAAATTTGTTTAAAATGTATGTAAATAAAAATAATAAACAAAACTTACATAGGATAATACCAATCAGTACAGTTATTTCGCCTAATTTTCTACAGCAAAGTTCACCCACAACTTAGGCCTAAATTTTCCCCAGTACTCTTAATATTTTGACATGGCCTCGTCTGCACAGTATAAGGCGTTATAGGTAGGATATACAAACATCTCCATTTAACACGAATAAGGGGTGATTTTCTATTTACAATTTTTTTTTCGAAGTTATTCAAACTTGTCACCAACACCACGGGAAACATATTTCATTTTATTTTACCCATCGTTTAGGTAAAAATACACAACCATTTTTAGACTATACAGTTCACCATCATCAGAATAATTTAGTGGCAATACAGTACACAAGTGTAAATATATATGAAATGTATGGTTTCCGAAACTTCTGTAAAAAACAACAACATGCATTCAGTTGGCTGAATGGTAAGGTCAGAAACCCCATATGATTCAAAATTAGCCATCCCTAATTTTGAACTGCAGACCAGGAGAATAGTTTGTTTGAAATTAAGCACAAAGCTACACAATGGGCTATGTGTGCTCTGCCTACCACGGGTATCGAAACGCGGTTTCTAGCATTGTAAGTTCGCAGACATACCGCTGTACCACTGGGGAGCCAGGGGAAAAGGTAATTAGTCAGTACCAGTGTCCATCTGAAGCGGATAGTTTTAACAAAATATGAAAAACCCTCATAAGTTGAAATAAAAAATTCAGAGGTTAACCCTGTAACATTAACAAACTTTATTCTTTATAGCGTTAGTTACTCGAAATCATCATTAAAAATGTTACTTTATATAAGCTTTTATTATCCCTGATCACAGCATGTTATCTACTACCCTACATAGATAAAACTAAAAGTTAATGTAGTAATTTCTTCATAGTGTGTTGTCTGTCAGTCAATCAGTAGACATTAAAATGGCGTCGCATAACGAAGCTTGGCATTCCCGTTTGCACTGTCGTGATGTCAGTAAAACATGCACATGCCATGAATCACGAGAATAATTATACACTCTGTAGGTTACAACACAGCATGACATATGAATTTCAAAAGCAAAAAATATATCTATTTGTTACTCTTAATTTTAGTTTTATTAACTTTTGAAATAGACCACTTTCGGAGAACCTCCGCAAGTACGTCTAGTAATGTATCTATTTCAATATACTGTTATACCGGTCTAATTATGAATATCAGATGTCATAGAACAAAATCTTATAATATTAACAATACATTCATTGATAAGCTGGGTAACCTTCCTGTAATCGATATTTTAATCCTTGATGCCAATGATATTCCACGAATTTCAGCTAGCTTTGGTGATTTAGATTATAATTAAATCTGTATAATCTATCCCCCGAAATAAATTATTTTCGTTTGTATTTGTGCAAAGCTACAAAACCTTTCCTTAATTTTGAAGTGATAAACTAGAGAGAAGGTAACAAGTCAACAGCATCCACAGTCAACTCTTGAAATACTCTAATGGAAAAGTATGAATTCACCAGGGAGTATCTAAACATACCATGTGTTTCTACCTACTTATTCTAATATTATATAATTCTGAATTTATCGGTTATGTTTTAGTATGTGCAGTTTTCATATAACACATGATCAAGAAAGTCGTTAAGTTTATTTCGTTAATTCTGGCTGCCTTTGATTCTTTGTCATTCCCTGAAAATAACAATGTTCTGCGCATGGTAAATGTGTCTGCAATGCTGTAAGTTGTCTAAGAATATCTACAGATGTGCCCTCCAATGATACTGACGGTTTCAATTCTTTACTTTTAAAGAGACCATGAGGAAGTGACGAGTCTCTCTGAGTTGGGAGGTATGTTGCCAAAACAGCCCTGGATAATAACAAAGCCTCATGCTGCATAAAGCTTCCAGATGAGCTGCCAAGTGCATCTTGTCATTTTCTCACTCTATGGCAGGAGTGTACCACTCATCGGTATGTTGAGGTCTTTGAATATGCTCTCACACTATACCCCTGAAGTTCAGAATGTCTCAGTCTGGTATTAACTGAGAGATCATTGGAGAAAGTTTTAGAAAGCTTTCACAGGCCCCTCTGAGTAAGTCTAGGAAAATGACTCCCTCAACATTTAAGAATGCAGCAAAGGAAGGTCTGGACCACTTTCTTAATCACTTTAGGCAGTCTGGAATGAACATATTTGAGGGGAGACAGTGTAATGCTTAATGTTGAGTTTATATGCTTCAGTGGTTGATTTGATCAAGCATTTGTATATAGAGAAAAAAAGCTGATACTACTTGTTTGATTATTCATGGCGAGCTAGACAATGAATTGTTGGAGACAGATATAAGAGACATCTCTGACAGTCGACTGAGTTAAAGACACTGGCTTCTTGATTGATATGGCTGGGATTAAATCCAAATCCAATCATCAAGCAGCTAGGCCACTCATTCAGTCAAGAAGCCAATTGTTGAAAGGAAACAGTATTCCTTGCTTTCCAAGCTATTTGTGGTATCATAAAGTACATTGTATCATATAAGAGAGTAGCGAGAACTTTATGGAGAATATTGCATAGTCCTTACTAGATCATTCCTGTTACACCTGAAGACTGGATGGTTTCTCCACATTAGAGCGAGAGTTGTGTTTTGTTTGAGTGTATATTGACTTAGATACTCTAAAAACAGCACAAATGTTAATCTTGATTTATAAAAAGTTAAGATGAAAGGTATATGTTTAGCTAAATCCTATTGGTGATTATGTATTTTGTGATGTCTAAATAGAAAAAAAAGTGTTGAATGTAATGGTTTCTAGATAATAGCACGTTACTGCATGTTGGCTATTGAGATACCAGCGTGGTGTAACCCTAGGTGGTTACAAAAACATTTGTGCTGGAGTTGGAGGCAGTCAGTTTTAAGTTATTAATTTACGTAATAATGTGCAATGAAGATAAATGTATATTACAATATAAATGTATGAAAAAATATATTTGTGTGATCTTATGTGCATGTATAAGCATTACATAAAGTCATTAATTAGTGTAATATAACATATATGGATCAATTGCACAAAGAACACAACTATAGCAATATACAAATGGAAAGAAATAATCTGATCTAGATGTTAAGACTTTGTGGTATGAGGTTAATTGTGAGTACTGGCTTGTAAGGTATTGTTGCGTCAGTGAGGTCACGTACTAGTATCACGCCACCTGTTTCTAGAAATATCCTGTTTCTTCAAGAATGTCCTAGCACTTACAAGATACGTGTTAGTCTTGTATGTATAAGACGTTCACAACGTGACGGGACAACAGAGGAAATGAGTAATTGAACTGCAGTCAGAGAGTGTGTAATTGAACGGAGTATTGTTGAAGTTGAGCACGTGAGACGTTCGTTGCTATAGCGTTTGTTATAGCGCGACTGTTGAAATTAAGTGTATCGCAAAGTTATATTCAGAAAGAATAAACCAGTTCTATTTAAGAAAGGACTTGTGTCGCTAAAGTTTCATTGGAACGAATTTACGGAAAATTAACTAACGAACGGAGACGTAACAATACTGTTTTTAGCCTAGCTTGACTTGAATGTGTATTGATATGTACTGTAGTGACAGCACGAATATCAATCCTAGCTGAATTCTGCTGGTGATTATTTATTTGGTGATGCTGAGAAAACATGTTGATTTTAATGGCTTTAGATGCAGCACGTTATGATACTGCATATATTGAAACAATTTAGTGGAGGTAGTCCATGTTGGCTGTTTTGGTAATGACGCACAAGCCAAAGGCAGTCTGTTTTTTGTTTGTTTGAAGTTAAGCACAAAGCTACACAATGGGCTATCTGTGCTCTGCCCACCACGGCTACTAGTATATGTGATGATATGTAATGTTGTGATATAAATCTATGAATAAATATGTATGTACACTGTATTAATACATATTGGACACTACACAAAGTCATTCATGAATGTTGTATAACATTAATTAGTCAATTACAATGATAATATAACCATCAAGCAAATATGAATGAAAATAGAGGCTTATATCTGGATGTTAAGACTTTCTTATATGAAGTAAACTCTGATTACTGACCTGAAAAGTATTATTTGAAGATACAGTGCAGCTGATATTTTCATTCATGCTGGTAAAAGAACATTTTGAGTTGCGACACTGAAATATTCAGTAAGGAGTGGATTTTCCTTAACGAGATAAGCACAATGTTAAGGCATAATGTGAAGGAAACATTGTTTAACCTAATGTTTTCAGTCATAGTAATGACAGATATTTCAACTGAATCCAAATCCAATCAAAATATTTGTGACTAGGTGAAATATCTGTGTAAAGTGAAATCCCCAAACAGTAGGTTATGTAATAATAAATGCAAACTTGATGTACTCGTTATTTTATTTCGCTGTGATTGAATATTTTCAACTGCGCAGATTAAAATATTTTGTAAGTACAGAGTTTTACACTATAGTTTTAACATATAACATTGTCCAAGAAAGTAGTTAAGTTCCTTTTACAAAGATTACTTATTGTTCTGTGTGATTCACCTACAATATCACATGATGCCTTCTTGTGAGATAGTTTTGTGAAGTAGAACAAATTATACAAGCAGAGAGTGATCTGTTCTACTGGCAAGTCAGGTGATACTTTGAGATTACATCCTCCTGTATTTTTTTATGGGAATGACCAAAAGTGAAATGGGTAGTGCATACGTTTTGAGAAGAATAGCATTGTTGTTTCGTATAAATAGTGCTATGTTTTTTCGATTTGGAATAGTTTTTCAGATAGATTTACTTCTTCATTGAAAATTCTCAAAACTATAGAAAAAGATGCTGTCCTTCGTCACATTTACGTCTTTCATTGTTCTGGTGAATAAGTAAAAATATTTCATGTGGTTACACAGCGTGCTTAGTCTCTTACTTTCACAACTTATTCAAAGTTAAAGAATTCAGATTTTATTTTCGCAACGCATTTTCTGTCGAACCTCCTATACACAATCCCAGTTCACTCTGACGGGAAATCATTGCAAATAAGAACCATACAATGCTATTATTTTTTCTTAGTAGAAAATCATATAGGGCTAGTAAAGAAGAAATTATTAAATATTAGTATCAGTATTATTGTGATGTCATGTCACATAAGACTCCGATTAACTCGAATAATTCAGAATCCTTTATCTCACTACGATCGATTTACGAGGGATTGAATGCTAATTTAATAATCGAAGAGAGACAAAATGTAACGACTGAATTATTCTGGATAGACACCGATATGAGAAGCATGAACTTATCTCTAATGAGCAATAGACATACAAAATAAAAACATCATCAACATGTGTAGGTGGGTGAAAGTTGTCAGCAACCACAAAATCATGAAGTGAAAATATTAAATCTTAAAATGTAATCCAAATACACGCAAAGACAAAACACAAAGAAATATATAAATAAATTCCAAAACCTATAAAGTCACGATTGATGTATAACTGCGTACTAGACCTTCAAGACAGCCCTTCAATTATAAGCTCAACGCAGATAAGAATTTGCTGTGCAACAACAAATATGCAAATATAAAATTATTTGAGAGTTAGCATTCAGGTACTCGAACCTATAATGTCCTGAGCGAAGCTGCACATTCACTGTCAGCAGCCAATTATGAAAAGATAATTGTTATTAATAAAATCAAAGGTGTTGTTGTTTACTATAAAGTACAAAGCTATACAAAAGGCTATCTGTGCTCTGCCCACCACAGGTATCGAATCCCGGTTTTTAGCAGTATAAGTCCACAGAGATACCGCTGTGCCACTGGGGGGGGGGGCTAAAATCAAAGAAAGAATAAACAACCGAACTACATGTAAACATAAAGATTGCAGAATAAAAAATCAGCAAAAAATAATATACAATATACGAAAAGCAAATATAATAATAATAAGAAGAATTAAGTCTCTAGCCATATGCAATCAAAATTAGGATGATCTGCTGTTGGCTGACCGTCTGTTTCATTTGTGAATTGAGAGTAGCTTTGGCAAAAAATAGTAAGTACGGTTAATGTTCTGCTCTTGACCATGAAGCCATTGAAGGTCAATTTTGCAACTTTTGCACATCCATGAAACATAATCGACTAATTTATTAATATATGTTTAAAGATCACTATTATCTAATGAAATATTTCCATTTTTTGATATTAAAATTTCCAGTTAAAATTATTACATTCATTTCATAAACCTTTAAAGTCTTTCACATGATTATTCTTTATTTTTGAACCTATTGATTTTATTACAGCTTTATTAATTTAACGATACTGTAGATTAATATTTAGTTTCACATTTTAAAAACTGCTTTGTAACCCAGTTCACGTTTATTTTTCATTCGTCATGAATACTGTACATATTATTTATTATCGGAGATACCATTTATAGCGGTTGTGGAATAACTAGGAATTTTTTTATATAAGCTAGTTAATTGATTATAAACTCTGGTGCGCGTGCGTTGTTGGTTTTATTTTTAAATGTATTTTGGTAATTTTCCACTGAATATTTCAATTAAGGACGGCCCTGTTGGAAGTAAACATGTGAATTATGAAACCTTTTCTTGCATAATTGGTATATTGGATTGCTGCAGAGCCAATCGCAATACCTCCCGGGTTAGGTATGATGGAAAATCTGGAGCGATGTGCCGATTGAGCTCAGAGAGTGAGTAAGGTATATGTAGTAAATGTTGGAAACTCGAACTTTCAAGTTTGGCGAAACGGTCGAAGGGTTTATTAGTATTATTAAAACGAAGACTACGAACAATAATAAGAATTTATTTCACATATTTTAAAAGACTGTAAATATTAGAAATGAAGAAAATTTTAAGCCTAGATGTAGCAGAATTTTCTTGTGTACTTACGAAGAAATTAGGAACGCTTGGACTTGAAGTGCATCCTTTTAAGGTACTACTAATATTATTCCTACTGAAGCATTAGCAGAAGTACCGTACTAATGTAATGATTAAGAACTGATCAAAATAAAAATAAGTTAACATTAACTATGGTTTAGAACTAATGTAAGTATGAAACCTCTCTTTTGTGGTATTTAAATAATTTTATACTATTATAGGCTATAAGTATAACTGAAAATTTTATATTATGTTTATAATGGTAGGCTACTTACTCAGAAAAGTCAGATCTAGAAATTCGTGATTTTGTGGGGACATAGTTTTTGGATTTGATTCAGCTCGTAATAAGTTACTGCTTATGTATAATGTAAGGTTAGAAAAGTGGCTGGATGAAAGAAAGCAGAGGGTTGTTATAAATTGAGTTTATTCAGACTGGATTAATGTCATAAGTGGAATACGCCATGGCGCATTGTTAGGGCCTTCACTCTTTTTATTTATTATTTACAATAATGATGTAGGTGAAGGAATGGTCAGTAAGTTACGTAAATTTACTGATGATATTAAGGTCTTGGGTGGTGCTGGTTGTGATGAGAATTCTGACCTGTAACAAAGGGATTTTGATTATTTGGCAAGTTTGTAACTTGTAAGTAAAAGGTAGATGACTTTTAATTGAATTTGTTATATAAATGCATGTGGAATATCAGATTTTGATTTATAACTATAATTTTGTTGGGAATAACCTTACAAATGTTATGGAAGAAAATGGATCTATGTGTTTATGTTGACAAGTTTCTTTAAGTCATCCAATCAGTGTGCTGTTGTTAGTGGTAGAGAAATAGAATTTTAGGCTTTATTTACCGAAATATTGAATACAAGTGTAAAGAGTTTATAATGACATTGTACAGGTCACTGGTCAAACCAGATTTTAATTATTACGTTCAGGCTTGGTCCCCTTACCCTAGAGAGGGCATTGAATTGTTGGAAAGGGTTCTGAGGAAAGCTACTAAGATGATACCTGGGATGGAAGGGTTGTCATATGAGTACGGGTTAAGGTCTCTGAAACATTTTCTCTTGAAAAAGAAGAGTTAGAGGGGGATGTGATTTAGATGTTTAAGATTGTTAAGAGAATTGAGTGTATTGATGCATTTTTTTTCGTACTTGATGGTGAGAATGATAGGACTAGGGGACACAAATATTGGTAAGGTAGGAGTGATCTTCAGTTAAGACAGTTTTATTTTTCTAACAGGATAGTTGGCCTTTGAAATGGGTTAAGTTCAGATGTGGTGGATCCAGTAAACTTAAGGGAAGGCTTGATAAATATTTGAATGATAAGGGCTGACTTTGAGTTTTTTTTTAAGTTTGGTTTAGTTTAGTGAATGGAACAGCCTACATGGATTAAGAGGCCCTTTGTTGTCCTTAAATTGTTTCTACGTTATTGTTCAAATTTCTAATATTGCCAACTCCCAGTCTACCCAATCATGTGTAAGTAATAAGACTTCTCTTTCAGTGAACTTCTGCTTGATAATGACACTCATCTCGTATATATTTCCTAATTAAGCTAAAGTTTCAAATCACTTAGTGATGCTATTTATCATTTACTTATGTAGAGTAAAGTGTGAGTGTGATATTACACTTAAAAAGTTAAATGGAATTTTATGTTTGTAGGTGAGAGGATGATTTTGATGGGCCAAATGGTTTTGTGTCGCTGCTTTTTATTAGGATATGTAATTATACTAAAGAAAAACAAAACAAATAACCTTGTGCAAACAGTATAAGCACAACTAATTTGTTCAGTGTTTTAAATCATGAAAGCTATTTTCATGTGTGTAAGATATATAATTTGTTATGTAACGTATTTAGACTGCCTTTAGTTTTCTCTAATCATGTAAAAAAATAGTTATAAAATCATACATAAAAAAAATTCTGTGAAAAAATTATAAAAAAGTATGAACAAAGTGAAAAAGACTTGTTGGATCTATCAAAGTTATCCTTCCATTCTCTAAACCAACCAACTAAATTAACAAACTTAATATGAAAGTAATCTTATGCATTCATGTACCTGTTTATTAAAGGTTTAAATGAATTTATACTTAGTAGAATACACACTTTATGACATTATAAATTAATTTATTCCCATTTATTATTTATTTGTTGGGTGTAGATCTTTAGACTAAATTTCCCATGTAATACAGATGATCTAAACATTTTCCATTAAATTTACAATATTATACAATAACTGCACTATAACAGTTTAGTGCAATAATGTTTTTTTGCATGAAAGCTTTAATTTCCATTGGCTAAGATTGACTTACAGATCCGATCTAGGGGTAAGGGCATCCTATTTTGTTCCACCACCTTACTTCAAACTACTGAAGAAACTTTTCATATCCATCACTGACATCTAAATACTTATCTGACTGATTTTTACTTTTCTTTGATGTTATAGCTTCTACCACACCTGAAGGCAAACTATTACATACGCTAACCACCATATTAGAAAAGTAACATCACTTTAACTGGAGTCATGTCTGAGTTTTTCATATTAGAAACTTGTGTCCTCTTGTCTTGTTTCCTGCATTTGTTTTAAAACATTGTGTAGGTTTATGGATTTCAGACCTCTAACAGTTTAAAATCTTTAGAAAAAACATGTCCGATTTGAACATATCTCCACACAATAACCCTTACAAACCTGGAATCATTCTGGTAGCTCTTTTGTAAACTTCTCCAATAACTTGAAAGGATCAAAGTTTGTAAAACAAAACAAAATACTCAGTACATTATAGCAATTATACTTCATATTTTTAGTGGATATTTATTTCATAGTTTTCCTAATATTTTTATTCAATTTTTAGGTTGGATGGTACAATTCTCAAGTGAAACCTGTGTTTAAACTTCCTTATGATGACAATACAGTGGCCTTTCTCATTATCAGTACACCACAGATGTTTGAAAAAGCCTTTAAACCTTTTGTTTGTTCCTCTGAACTCACAGGCCTTAAGGATCCCATTGATGAATGCATGATGTTTTATCTTCATCAAGCAACACAGGTGAGGGAAACTGATAAAATGTACCTTGGATCAGAGAAGCAAAATTTACAAATCTGTGCAACTGAGATAATGAAGAGTTCCTGTATCATACAACTTTGCAAGTTTAATGTAAAGATCTGAAAGTAACTGTTTTGTTCTGTACTTATTGTTAAATTTGGACTATTTCATGGTTTATATACATGTATATGTTAGGTACAGGATTCTTCTTTTTTTCACCAAAGGTAAATTTTAAATGAGAATCTGTGTTCAGTTTTTACCTTTGGTGAAAAAGAAGAGAAATCTGTAACATTATATGTCTTATTTAACAGTCGGTTTATTGTATAATATCAAATAATGAATTAGTGCAATACTCTAACATTATTTGCACACCTAAATTAGTTTTGGTTGCTTTATGGTGATTTAAAAGGACTCAAAAACCCATACATATTATTTCATGCTTTCATTTTTTGCTTTACTAATGTGAGATATTTTAGATATTTATATAAGAATTAAGTGATTTCTACTGTGAAATAAAAAGATGTTAAGTTTTCAACATAATGGTTATAGTTTTGGTTACTTCATTATAATTGTTGTTTGTTTACTTAAGTTATCATATGGGAACCAGTCCTTTAGCATGATTAAAGAAAATGATTGTGGTTGGTATAGTAGTGGATAAGTCACTAAAGCCACTGAAGCAGTACTCTGTTGCTAATAGTAAAGATAATAGAATTGTATGGTGTATTAACTGTATAAATTTAGACATTTATTACACCTCAAAGAGGTAATTATCTCTACATTAATAATTAGTTAGACTTCACTTGGAATAGAGTGAACAGTTTGTCTTCTTATCTAAGAAAGGATATTAGCATATTGGAAAGGGTTTGGACTAGTAGGTTGGTTCTGTGGATGGAAGGTGGTATTACTGAAGTTTATAAGATTAATTGGGGAACTGGTTGTATAAAGTCCTGTATTTCTTTGTTCTTGATTTTCAAGATAAAAGAGTGAAAGTACATGTGTTTAAGATTTGAGAAGGACAGGCTGGGCTCCAGTTATGACAGTTTTATTTTTATAGCAAAGTCATTGAGTTATGGAAAGAATTGCCATTAATAGTAGTAGAGGCCAGCACATTACGGGAGTTTAGGAGGGGATTCCATGGTTTCCAAAGAAATAAAAGGTGGGTGTAAAAGGGACAGTCATGAAGAATCAGATTATCTCTTGTTGGCTGTATGTTATGCTATCATTACTTGATTTGTACACCTTGACCAACCATATAATACATCTGAAAGTCTGTAAGTAGTGCTGAGTGATTAGCATTTTTGCAAATCGTTCTGATTGTTGATTTGATATTTGTAAATAATTACAATTATCAATCATAAATGCAAAAACATAATAGATGACTTGTGTCCAGTAAATAAATACTATGGGATGTCATATAAGAAAGAACAGTAAATTGAAATCAAAATTTGTTTTATTAATGATTATATATATATATTTGTGGCCCCCAAATGAGTCAGAAGCAAATCTTTAGACTTACAGTGCTAAAGTCTGGAGTTTGATTTCCTGTGGTGTACAAATTATTGATACATTTCTTTGTGAAATGTATATTTTTTGCTTTCAAGAAGATCTTATTCCTTCGATTCTATTTTGCTTGGTGTTTTACAGCAAATGCTTTATGTAACAATAGCTGATTTTTAGTATTATTAATTAATGAAGTTATTACAGTAACATGAACTTCTACGAGTTTTCGTAGTTTTCTAGTTCATTTTTAACTTTTAAAGACTAGCAAAAAATATTCAGTTTGGTTGAAGTGCTCATACAGATGAACCTACAAATATTTGAGAAATTATTTATTTTACTGAAGATAAATTGAGTCTGTTATTGATGTGTACTATTAAAATTGAATGAATATCTTTTTTTTAAAGCTGTGTTTAACGAACAGAATATCTAAGCTGTTAACACACAATTTATGAAATTTAATATGCATTCTTTGCTGAATTCTAGATAATTTTTAATGGAAATATTTAGCATGCAGCAAGAGTACTATCTTGTGCCTACTAACCTGTTGAAAAATGAAATTTGCATAAATCAATTTGAAACAGATATATATTTATGAAAGTATTAGATAACTTTTTAATCAAATTTTTCATTACTCTAGGAATTTGTAGATTTTGATATCGATGTGATTCATGACTTTGAACTTCTGCCGAATCGCAGACCTCTTATTTTGATGCAGACTGTTGGTCATGTAGCAGGAGTGACATATTATTATCAAAGAAGTGATCTAAAAAATGATCCATGGGATAAATCGCAAGTAAGCTGAAAGAAAGACAAATATTAAGTATTTAGTTTTATCTCTTAACTATTTTTGATAAATTGGAACAAATTTAATAACTAGTTAAATATACTGTAAACCACTTACATTGTAGTTACTGCTGCATGAAATGTTTTATTTTGTATTTTGGTAGTAGTATGTCATACATTCACAGTTTTATACTCTAGGTATTGTACTGAGATATCTTAAGACTTACTTAGACTAGAAATCGGAAAGTAATTTAATATTCTTGATAAATGAGAAGGAAATACTGAGTTAATTTAGTGAAATGTTGTGTTTGTTCTTTATTAGTCAACATCTTGGAGATATTGTCATTTTTTAATTTCTAGTGTTGTATTCTATTTATTTAATATTCATTTTCATTAACAGTATTAGTTAGAATGTCTGTTTTTATTATAAGGATTATTTTCTATTGATAACTTAGTATCTGAATATAATATGGTGTTGGATTACAAAACTAATTCTACCAGTGATGGTATTGTACTGATAAAATAATGCATTCTAAACATTATAAGTAAAAATGAGAACAGTATATATATAATTAGCTGTTCTTTACTGGATTGAGTTTTAGTTTGACCTGTGTAGGTAGCTTGCTTTCATCAGAACTTAATATTAGAAGTTGTCAGCACTTCAGACCTGACATAAGATATGACTGTATTTCAGCTACATAATGCTAGTTTTTAGTTTTAGAAATTTTATCCAGTAAGAATAATATAGATAAAAACAAAATTGTAATAAGGAGAAACAAAATTATATGGTAATCATTTTGGCTGAAACATTGACCACTTTTTTTGTTTTATTTTTTAGAATAATATTATAAATTTTTTGTGTGTTCAGATTTTATTACATTGTACTACATTTTTGCCTTTACTACATCAATGTATGTTCAGAACTTTAAGTTAGACATATTTTATAAGTTGTTTTTTATGGGAATTGTCTTTCCTTCCAGACATCCATTACCCAGTATCTGTATGGTGTCAAAAAAAGCACATTTAAATTTTATTAAGCCATTATTCCATTAAACCTTTCTGTTTATAAACTAGCCATTACTATAAAAAAAATTCAATGAAACAATGATGACTCTTGTTATCCTTAATATATTACATAGCCTCTGACAAAAATTGACACTGATTGTCAATTATTTTTAAGTCATTGAACAGCTTAACCAAAGCTATAATTTAACTTAGAGTATTGTCCTTCATAATTTTACAGGTTATAAAATTATAATTTGGACAGTTTTATAAGTTGATAATCACTTACCTAGTACACTTCTGATAAGGGGTATTAATGTCCTAAGACTAATGTATTTTCAGTTTTGGGCTTAATATTGAATCTCACACTGTAGAGCACTAGAGAAAACAAACTGTAAAAGTATTTCAGTCATTCTGCTTAGATTATATAAGTTTTAGTTCAATAATTTCTGTTCTCTTCAAATATGATCTCTTCAGGCAGTTTGAAGTAAGCTGATTTTCATTCAAACATGAAAAGCACCAATGTGCCACCTGTGAATCAAGCCTAAGTCTGACCTGTCATTATTTTATAAGGTTTTCAAACAACTTCATTATTTCTTGTCTGCTGTGAAGTTTTAACATACTATAAAAAAAATAGTACTTCATATGCCTTTCTTTTTGCATCTTATTTCTGTTACTTTGTCTGATTTAGTTATGTTTAATTATATTAGCTTAAACAGTTATATTCTAGCAAAGTGTTTCAAAAAGCTCAAACTTGCCCTTCAGGCTGAGATGAAAAAAATAAATAAAATGGAAAACCTTAATTATTAGCTCTATGGTGATCTCCAACTTAGTTTTAATGATTATAAGTGCTTTTTCAGATAATCAGGTGATAGACATTTTTAGTTATTTCAAAAATGCAAAACAATGAAATCAGAAACACAAAATCTTAGGAACACTAAGAAATTACACTTTCTTGGCAAACCTAACTACACAGGCAGTTTTTCACACAATCTTGACAGTATTATCAGAGATCTGTTGGATTATCAGCTAAGTGACAATGACGAGAGTCTTAAGTAGAGGTTTATTCTCAGCTTTTCCACCTCCGAAACTCATGATTTAAAAGGCGAACCTATCTGGATTAAAAGTTATTTAACCTTAGATAACATTTAGGCACATATTAGGAGCTTTGCAGTTGACACTTTTCACAAATAGTATATCATTGTAACGTTCAGTTAGTGACTGGAAAAGTCATGCTGTTTGAAGATGCATAGTATGAATGATTTTGTATTAGGTGTACATGCACACACCAATAAGATTGTCACTTTCATGGGATTTCTTACTATCATTTTTGATTAATTCAAGGTTTTTCAGATTAATTGATTAGTGTCACGATTCCCAAAAATAATCAACTAATCAAAATCAGCATTTACGAATTTTACTGTTTTTGATTGTTCCATTATTTCAATCATCTAAATGTCTTGTGAAAACAATAGAGTAATTTTAAATGAATGATCTCAATGAGTAATTGATTGTCAAATCCAATCAATTCCCAGCTGAACATACAGGCAGAATGTTTGTGTGTTATATTGACATTATATGGCCAGGTAATATAAAGCTGATATAACAATATTTGATGTTAGATTTGAGGAAACGTGAAAAATACAGTTTGTTGTTATAACTGCAGGCTTAAATTGTGATCCACAGAAATGACAAAAAAAAAAGCTGCAAGATTTTTTTGTGCTGCTGTTAAAATGGGAATTTGTTTATAAGTTTGTGAAAGAAATGAACATCCATGCATATAAAAATAAATTATTTTTTTTACATTTTTATTTTCAAGTTTTAAAATTATGGTGACTTTACTGTTCAGGACTTTAGTTTAGTTAAGATATAACCTTTTTATTTTTTCATACCACCAATTCTATAAAAAAAATAACATTTCAGAACCAAAAATTGACTTTTCATTCAAGTCTTTAAAGATTTGATACTCTTATAAGATTTTGCAACTGTTTGTTTAAAGAAATATAAATATACATATGTATTACTCATTTGAAAAAAAAATGTAATCCATTTGTTTTAGATTGACTTGTTTTTGGAATTTATGATGTAAATAAAGGCCTGTAATAATATAGAAGGTTTTAAGACATAATGTAAGTTTTTCTTTTTCAGAAGATCTACGGTGTTTGCATTCATCCAAGGTATGGTGGTTGGTTTAGTTTCAGAGGTGTTCTTATCTTTAAAGATGTGTTATGTCCAGACTTAGTAAAGAACCCCCCTCCAGATGTTGTAGCCAGTGATGAGCTTAGAATTGAGCTATTAGAAAGGTTCAATTTTCATTGGCAGGACTGGAGTTATCGTGACATTATTCCTGTTGTGGATATTTATTCTGAAGAACAAAAACACTATTTCTCTACTAAACCAAAAGACAGGAAACAGCTTTTAGATTCTATGAAGAAAAATTGGGTATGATGCCATGTCTTTTGTGTAGATGAAGGCAGAGATATTGATAGATACTAGATTTGAGAAGTCTGTTTATTTATATAGAGAAGAAAGATTTGAATGATACTTTAAACATATGAAAATGCATTAATACTTGAGTTATTTACTTTTAGATGAACTTAGGATTAAAATGTAGGAAAAGTGCTGCCACTTGTGTATTGAAAAAGTTCAAGAAAAATGTACAAAAGATAAATTACTGTAATTTTATATAATATAAAAAATCATTTGTATTTTTTTTTCCTGTCTCTCTCTCACCAGTGTTGTGTTTTTGTGTTGAATATTTACTTGGAAAGAAAGTGTAGAAGTATTAGAATGTGAATGCTAAGGTACTTGTACATGTTTAGTAACCATATTCTGTACCATGGATTAAACTGTATTTTAATACTTTCATAGGTGTAGTCTCATAATAAGTGATCATAGTTACTTCAAACCAATAAAAAATAACCAATGACAAAATTTTAGTATTGATTAACTATTGAATTTAAAGTGTGATATTTATTAGTGATATCCAAGTAGTTTTAGAATTAAATTTTAGTTTGATATAGAAGTTAAAGTTGAAGTCATTATTTTTTTTTTAAATTTGGCTTCAATTTCTGTATATTTTATTTACTACAGTTATGAATTTGAGTACATTTTGGAAATACTGTGCATATGTAGTGTGCACTGTATGAAGGCATATGACAACACAAAACCAAAATATAAATAATCAATATGAATGATAGTGGTTCATAACTTTTAACAAATGTCCTTTGACATATCTTGGAGTTATTGAGATGCATTTAATTTCTAGAAAGTTTAATAGTTAAAATCTTTGCATTTAAGACTATTTTTGATGATATTTGGCCTTCATTCATCATGTCAAACTTTTAGGTTGTGGATTTGAAAAATTTTGTATAAAAAAAATATAAAAATAGTACATTGTAAATGTCTGTAAAATTACCAAGGTATCTTTAAAAAGTGATTTGAGATTTCATTTTTTTGTGTTGATATTTTTTGGAGAAGAAAAGTTATCCTATTTTGAAATTAGGTTATAAATTCTTTATATAGTTAACCTCACTATCAACTCCTGTAACTTTGGTATATCTCACAGAACTCTTTAATAAATTAAAGGTCAGTAAATTAATATTAAAATACCATCTCTTGTGAATTCACCCTGTTCACTGACTTTTTGTTGGTGACCTATTACTATATAAACTTTTCCATAAGATATAAATTTCAGCTTCTCAGTTAGTTTATTTTTGTGCTAAATTTCTGAAGTAAATATTAAGTAGAAAGTTGTGAATAAGAGAATGGTCCGGCTGTTGAATATTCATAAAATGAGCATTGTGTTTTGGGCATTTACATCTGAGAACAAAAAGGTCTTGTAATCTGGACATGAAATAGCTAAAGATGCAATTATGAGAACTCATCAGTGTTTCTCTTTCCATAAACAGGAAAATCAAACAAAAAATTAAAAGTAATGAAATCAGTATTATTTCAAAAATGGCAGTTATTGTTGTAACTTAATGCAAGTATGCAAAATAATGATAGATAAGCCTGTTCTAGTCTTTGATTCCAAGAAAATGGGAAGATAGGAATGACATTTTTTTGTATTGAAGCTTTTGTTTATTACTTTATATTATGCATTTTTATAAATTTTTCTTTGAAAGTTTTGTTATGAAATATAGAGAACCTCCAATTTTTTAAGGCATTTAGTTTTTTGTTTTTGCCTGTAGATTACAATAAAACAATTATTAAACAAGTTGCCTTTGACACTTTATATATTTTTACCATAAAGTTTATTAGCTTGAAAGCACCACTTTAATAAGCTATTGAAAATGTTCCTTCTCAAGTAATGCTAGAGGCTTTGTTTGTTTGTTGTTAAGGTCAGAGCAACAAAATGGGCTGTCTGTGCTCTGCCTATTGTGAGTGTTGGAACCCGATTTTGAATATTATAAATCCTTAGACTTAGCCATCAAGGGGCTGCTAGTGACAGTGTTTGTTGATATTTAGAAAACCTATTGTGCTTTTATTTAAAAAGTTCATTATAATTTTTAAACATCATTAGATCTAGTGAAATATTTGTAGTGTGGGAAATTTGATAAGGTTTTACGTAGTTTTGAAAACTGATCACTGGTCTAAAAACTACTGTTTGGACATTATGAATTACTGGCCTCATAACTTTTGAAATTGTATTAATAAACTAGCAGAAAAATACCTCGCTTATTCAGATAAAGTATTAAGAGAAATTGAACATGATAGTAATAAAATGGATTTAGGTACAAATAAACTTGTTGCAGACATGAACTTTCAAATAAATTATGGAGTATAAACTGACAAAAAAATGGTTGTAAGCTATGTGTAGTTTTCCTTTCACAAGTTGGGGGAAACTAACTGTGCTACTTGAAAATGATGAAAGGAGTCTATATATTTTCTTTCAAATTTTATTGAGCAAGAATACAAAAATACAAGTTACTTGAAATGGTAAGAGGTGTTTAAATTTTGCAAGATCACATGTTGGCTAAAAGCTGGTGGGAAATACCATCAAAAGTTATTTTCTCATTCTTTTGAACTTTCTTTTCAATTTACGTGATTTTTATTAAAGAATTTTGTTCTGCATTGCATTATTAATGTCATGTTTTTTTTACAAGTTACCCCAAACTACAAAAGTAATTTTCATACATATCAGCAGTGTTTTATAGGTAAATTTATGTGATATGCTAACCTGGCATCTTGTATTATTGATGTCCTACATATGAAATTACTAATCCTAGAATTACTTACATAGTCCATATGGCTTGTTTTAGAAATTTCTTATAAAGCTAAGTTAGCACAACAGCAGTCTGCAACAGAAAGACTAGAAAGATGGCAGCTAGTCAACACCACCCACTACCTAATATTGTCTGATTGAATAGGACTGTTACTGTTATAGCACACCCATTACCCTAAAGCAAAGAGCACATCTGTGTAGTACTTAGCGGCAAACTATGATCTCCCCAATTCACATTCTAGGCACATTAACGACCAGGTTAGGTACATATGGATCTCAACGGTTTTTTAAAAGACTTTTATGAAATGTTTGTGGATGACATTGTTAGTTACAGATCATGCAGTTATACCAATGCTATGTTGTACAACAAACATTAAATCTATGACAGTACTTGAAACCAACAGCTAGTGTTTGCGTGTTCTGTTGCTACAACTCCATTTTTTCATTGCCAATATTGGTTTGAATGTTTAACATATCTAATTTTATTTTCTGTTATTATACTTTTATTAAAGAGATTGTTTTGTGTCCCCCAGTGGCACAGAATTAAGTTTGTGGACATATAATGCCAAAAACTAGGTTTCAATACCTGTGGTATACAATTGTATAGTTTTGTGGTTAATAACAAATGAGATTTTTTTTTTACATTATTAGATTAATATATATTTAGGACTAACCCAAATCTTCTAAACTGGCCAAAACATGAGGTATTATGACCAAAAATATTGTTAACACCAAGGGTACCCAACTGATGAGACAATGCATTTTTAATAAAGTAAGAAAAGTATTTAATTAGCTATACCAATCATAATGTGTATTTTCAGTTTTGCTGAAAGCAGTGATCACAAGTTTATATTAACTACATGAGCGCTACTAATGTGAGTTAGAAACACAATATCAATACTGCAATTACTTCCACTAGTGATTGCAGTGGCCCATATGTATATTATATAAACAACGGATGATTTCACCTACGTTTTTAGTCTGTTCTTTCCATGTATTTTTGAAACAGGCAAAGTGTATATATAGTATTCAAAATGATTACGGAAATGCAGGGTGATACACATTCATAAATCAAAACAATGGTCATTTTATTTTTTTGTTTGTGCAATTTACATGGATTTTTTTATGTACAAGTTCCTAAAAGAATAAAGTAAATTTAACCATAATTTCAACAAAATTACATTTTATATGTTGCACCAACAATTCTTCCCCACACTTGAATTCCAGACAGGATTAGAAGACTTTTCTAGAAAAATAGCTATTCAAGAATGTTTCAATTCATCAAATAAACCTACCTCTTCTCATGTCCCTTCCAATTAAAAAACAAAAACCTACATAAAAAAATCTTCATTTACGAAAGAACATATAACAGATATTTTCTTAAATATCCAATATACTTTCCCTTAAAGCCTACAGTTGTCCTATTTTCTTTTCTTCATTGTCAGATATAAGACTTTAGTTTACGTAGTATTATTAATTCATTGATGTTGAGGCTATGGAGATTTCTAGAAGGCCTAAGTGATAAATGTATAAATAACTGACCAGACGAGCAAAAAGAGTAAAAAAAATTTGGTCAGAGAAAAGTTAGAAAATGTAAAATTAACCATCATGGGAGTGAATGGCCTAACAGTTGATATGTTAGAGTGAGAGTAACAGTTTGAAAGAGATGAGAATAATTTGTCTTTTCAAAGGGTGTTCAAAACTAATTGAATCCACCTGTGTGGACTTGGACAAAAAGAGAAACGATTATTGGAAGTGATTATTCGAAGTTCAGGATACAACTGCGGTAACTCGTGCAACAACATAAGTGAACTATACCTTGGTACTATTGTGATAAAAATAGTTCGGCTTGTCAATTAATTCTAAAGCAATTGAATTGGCCTAAGTGGACTTTTGACAAGAAGAAGAGAACTGTATAGTGTTTAAGATACAACCATGATCTCCATAGTGTAAAGAAATTTTGTATATATGTTTAAATTGTTTTGAATATATTATTATTAATATTATAAAAACAAGTGGAGCACGTGCTGTTGAATTTATTGCAAACAAGTCACAGACACCTACTGTAGAAGAATCCTTGGCCCAACACACCCATATATTTTTATTACTGTATATACCACTTAAAAGTAAGTTCCTGACAGTCATATTCCAGCTGTTCATGCCTTTTATTCATGAATCTTTCATCTTCTTGAAAAATCAAACCTTTCTCCCAAAAGAACACAGAGCACTAAAACTAAAAAAATGATGAAAGTGCAATTTTACTGAAATCTGATAATGTTATTACGT